GGAGGTCAAAAACCTCCTCGATCAGTTTTTTGCCAGCAAAGACCAAAAATTTTATGAGCGTGGAATTATGCTACTACCAGAAAGATGACAAAAGGTGTTGGACCAGAACGGTCAATATATAATTTAATAAAGTATTTGTTTATTATACGAAAACTGTCTTTCATTTCCACAAAAAAAACGAAATGACTTTCCGAACAACCCTATAGTTACTGCGTGAAATCAACAAAAAATGTTGATTTTAACCATATGACAAGAGTTGGTATTTAAATATCGGTTTAAAAAAGTGTTTTCCGAGACTTTCGTAAGGTATTGAACGTAATTTAAGAAAAATAGTCGTTATTATTCGTACAGTGTGTTAAGATGCGTTGGTGTTCGGTATGAATGAAGAGGTGGGTGTATGGTGGGGATGGTGGTTGGTCCACCGCTGTTATCCTGCCGCCACGCGAGCGAGCGCGTCGCGCGTACTCTGTCAGTAATAAACAGCAGCCAGGAGCCGTCCAGGATCTACAAGGCCCGCTTTTGCTCCTGATGCTGACACCACTTTCTGCGACGATCGTAGCTAGGCAGCAGCCTGCAGCGAGCGTGATCGTCGTTGTAGTTTGCCGCGGACAGCAGCCTCTGTAGCTGCATGCAGTCGCGGTGTAACGTGTTTTCGACACGCGTCTGAACGTGCTCGTTCTGTCCCACTGAGATCTCGCAGTGGGATTGCTGTTGTGTTACGTGTATTTACCGACTGGAACGAAACGGGGTGGTCGTCGCATAATCGGAATTCGCAAAGGAGGCTGCTACTACTTCTCTGGTGGGTAGCAATTTCTGCGAGTTTTCTCGATGTATTTTTTTCGTAAAAGAATTTAATAAAATCGGAATTTTGCCTTTTGATTTTATAAATCGATTCGATTCTACTGGTGTTTATTTTTTCGAATTATTTCAATCAGTATTACAGATATTGCTTTTCTATAATCCTAACGGTTTCCAAAACTCAAAGAAGAAAATTGAGTGAACGTAAATATTTTTTTTGGAAATTTCGGATGTAAAGTGGAAATCTTCAGTATTGCATAAAAGTTTTCATAGTAGAATTTGATTGATTATCATTCTAGTTTCCCTTAATTTACTTTATTCAATATTAAGTAATAATAATAGAAAGTAGTTATTTTGATTAAATTTTGTAGAGAAATGTTAAGAATTCAAAACTAATTTTTCAAATTCGTAAGCACAAACAGTAGGGACTTCATTTATGTTTGCAGTTTTCTATTGAGATGCATTTAAAAATTTTTTAATTGTTATAAAATAAAGTACCTAAGTAGCTTGAATTACGTGGTTTTCTCGATTAAAAAGTTAAGAAGGAAACTTGGAGAGTATTCTATCCAGAATTAATCTGTAATGAATGGCGACTCTGATGAGACCTTAGCTGTTCGTTCTTCCGTTCGGCTGTTTTTGTCTGCCCTTGTTTTGCCTTTATAAATAATCCAATTTCTTGGCTATTTCTGTACGACAGTGACAGAGTTAAATTCTTTGTCTTTAATTTACCGTGGCAACGCATCTTTTGTGAATATTTACGGATAATTTCACTAATTTATGAAACCTCTTACATTTAGAAGAATGGAGTATATTTTTCTTTTTTGGAACGAAATCCCTTTTGCACGTTAGAGCTGAAAGGAACTAATCAGTGAAAATCATCGTTATCAGATGAATTTCATTTTATTCCCCAGCTTTTTTACCAACATTATAAATTATATAAAACTTCCGTTTTCCTAAGCTGGCTTTAAATTCCTTAGGTCCACGGAAATAACACTAGGTCTAGCAACGCTGACCAAAAGCTATATGTTAGGAGGCATCTCTCTTCCTCTTACTGCTTGCAGAGAGAGAGAGAGAGCTGACGAGGTAGATTCGATTACTCTGTCACCTGGCAACAAGCGTTTTTGCTTTCCTAAATTCCTGAAAATATTGAATTTTTTTGTAAGATCCGATGTTGGTAACATGCTCAAATTCTGCTTGTCTGCATCTCTTTCTGTTATTCCTTTTTCTTTATTAGTGTCCGCTGCAATTCCTACCTGACATCTCTTTCCTATGCTTACGATATTCCCTACAACGTTTGTCGTAAGTAAACGTAGGCGTAAGAAGAACGTCCCGACTATATCAATGAGCTCCGTGGCTTGTAAGTTTCTCTAAACTGCTCCTGGATATCAGAGAATCAATGCAGTGGGTTGTTGAGAGGTGATTCACAATAGTGGAGTTTACCAACAAACATAACTTACTTTTGTGCATACAGCTTTGGACGCGCATCGAAAGTTCACCGCCAGTTGCTCTCGGTAATTTGAAGCTATTGGAAGAGCATCGTTAACATAATTTTCTGCTAAAATTGAACCCCAATTTCTCTAAATGTTTACCTTCAATAACGCTAGATACTTGCGTCTTGGTTCTGCATGACCTGCACATCTTGGCCTGTGAATAAACAAAAATATCTGTACACGTTTTCATCAAAATATCGACTGCGAAGTCAGTGATATTTCGCTGAAAAGTTAGAAGCTTTCAATGAGGATATCGTGGATAGAGAGGGTTAAAAATGAGGCGGTTAAAGAAAGAGTAGGAGAATGAAGGGCTCTATGGAAGTAGGAGAGATAGGTTGGTAGGACACGTTCTCAAGTATGAAGGGCTAGTTAGAGACATATTAGAAGCAAAAACAGGAGTTAAGAGGTAGTCCTAGATTAGATTACTGTTCACAAATAGTTAAGGATGTGGAATGTTCTATTTGTAGGGAAATGCGAAGACTAGCACAGGATGTTAAAAGGTGACCCTATGGTGTTGACGATGATGATTCCGCTAAGATTCGGAGCCCTTAATAAAAAGAAGTCACTTCTGTGCTCGCGAACGGTTAATTTATAAATTCGAAAAAGGTTGTTAAAGGTGTATGTTTAGAGCACGGCATTGTATGGGTGCGAAACATGGACAGTGGGCGCGGCGGAAAAGAAAAGGGTAGAAGCGTTCGAAATGTGGTGTTATAGGCGGATGATAAGGTTAACGTGGGTAGAAAAGGTTAGAAATGAAGAGGTATTGGGAAGAATAGGANCTGATGAGATCCAAAAAGATCGAAATCGCGATCCGCGTCTGGCAGTTTCGACAGAATACAGACCACTTCGAATTATTTTTTATTAGAACATAAACGCTTTATACATCAATATAATTACATAAACCTTTCAGTTTGTGACTTTTTTCATTTTATATCTATGATGAGATATATCTGCAACGTTCAAATCAATGATGCATTTCACATAATTCTCAAGGGCTAATCGTCATGTGGTGAATTATGGTCCATATGGGAGTTAGTGAACCGTTTGGTTACGTCCGGATAAATCCGTAACTTTGGTTCATATACCGACATGCTCAATCTCTTTGTATAATACTAATCGTGTAGATACTGTATAGAAAATATGATAACTGCGTTAGATGTTACCCATTACAGATTATCTCAAATTAATAACGAAATGCTTCTGTCACTTCCTCGCTCAAAATCGAACTCGGCCCTTGGTTTTATGTATCAGTGACTCATGTAACCAGTACTCTCATTTTCCTTATAACTTTGAGGTAATGTGTAGTGGGTAAAGTTAATTTAAAAAATTAATTTACTGATGCATTGAATTAGATGTTGTTCTCATGTAGGAACCTATACTATACACACGAAATGCGACATTCCTTCAGTCAATAATCAAAATATCTTCCGTGATTTATGCATAGATATTTATAATAAGAAAGATCTGATTTATTCATAGTCGACAAATCTAAAGTTTCAATCTTTGTCTTAAAATCATCCAACCAAAATGTATAATTATTTTGTTGAGTATATCCAATTGACAGAGCCTTTCAATTTATAATTCCGTTCAACCTTCTTTCAAACCTATTGATTTTCACTTGAGTTAGTGTCTGTGACAATCACAATCGTTCACTTCTCATTGGAATTTCCGTTAGCTGTTCCTCATGGGAAGTTATTCAATTCTAATTGTTTACATTTCATTTTCATAGTTACATTGGTCGGGACTTCTATTTGCCATGTAATCAAATTCCGTTACTTAACCAAATATTTCTAGTATGACAATATTATTTTACTTCGTCAATTATTTATTTGTTAATTCATCAAATGATTTAAAATATGACTTTGCTTATTCAGAATCAGTGAAGGTTTGTCTATATGAAGTGTGGAATAACAACATACATCAATTTTTTTACGTAGAACACTAAACTAGTGATATTAACTTTCCATATTCATTTTGCAATAATCAGTTTTTATTGATCACTTTGAATCCATGCAAATCCAGGCTCCACAATTTGTCCAACCGAACCCACAGCGTGGCTAGCCCTAAGTGGTGGTTATCTAACCAAATAGAACAAAAAGTTAGTGGTGGTAAGACCGTCAGACGCGATCTTATTGGATCTCATCAGCACGCCGCAAATTGTTCCAACAGAATACTGGCTAAAAAATCGCCTTTATATAACATGATATACATTAATATTTATAAAACATTAGCAGATTTCCAATATACCCTCGTATACATGTATAATCAGTTCATGTGTCAATAGAAAAACAAATTGACACTTGTAGTTGTTAAAAATCATTAGAGTGACAACGAATTCACAAGCTATTTCTTCCCTTTTTTTTTGGGTCTCGTACCATCTGTGAACAACTTTCGTTCTTTGACGTTTAATATGATAACGAATATCTTCGTCCAATATATTTCTTTTGTGAAAAATACACACCTTATTTTCGACATTTAGCAATTAAACTTTATTATTTGTATTTTTGAACCTGACATAAATTTTGCACCATCTGTTACGTATTCAAACATTATAAGAAATTGAATCTACCAAGTGGGATAAATGGCATACAACAGGTAGGAAGTCGACAATGTGATTTTTGTGTTCTACCATCCTTAAGGATCTTCTTGTAATAGGTAATAGATTTTGAAATGTGACGTTAGAGACTGATGATGAAAGTACCGTATATAGGAAGGGTTAGAAAGGAAGAGTTGTGGAAAAAAGTAAGAGAGCTAGGAGGCCCAAGAGCACCTTCTGAGTCATGAAAGGCTAGTTAGAGAGATACTAGGATAGAGATAAAAATGTTCTAGTTTTTGGAAAAGTAAGAGAACAATGGGGCTCAGGAAGTCAACAGGGAGAAGGAGAAATTGGATGGTGGAGCAGCTTCTGAGTCATGAAGGGCTAGTTAGAGAGATACTAGAAACGGAAATAGAAGCAATGAGGGTAGAGGAAGATCTAAATTAGATAAGTTATCTTGGAAAGAGCTGTAGGGACATACAGCAAGCAATAGCTCAGAGTTTAGCTGCCGCTATTATCAAGATAAAGAAATCACTTCTGTGCTCGCAAATGGTTACTCAGTAAATATGATTAATTAATAACGAAAGTGATTATAAATTAAAAGTGTAGGCATACCTACGTACGCCTTCTACGCTTTTAGGCTAGTTAGAGGGGTAAGGATCTTCTTGCAATAGGTAAAATGGTCAAGAAGCATTCTTGATAGTTCTTCATTTTTCTGGAAAGCCCTTGAAACCCTCGCGTTACACGATCATGTATGTGTCCTATGATTTATGTCCCTGATCAGTACGCCAACAAAGCGCCGATGTTATCGATCGATGCCTTTCGACATAACTACAAAGAGCATCGCCGTCGCCATATTGATCCTGACCTATAACTGCGTCAGGTTCGTGATGATGATGATGATGCTTTCGCAGTTATTGATTTTGTTTAAATTACTTAATTAATTAGGTTTAAGTTGACCTTTTCTTCGTTTAA